CCCTCTGCCCTTCACAATAAACCCTTTGTATGTCTTTAAGTTAGAGAAAAGGTGGACTGAAATACTCAATTCTGAAACTAGACGGAGTTTCAGAAGGCACTCAGGCGCCACGATCACTTGCCTTTGCTCCTCTTCAGATAAACAGCAGCTGCTTTACTTCTTGAGCACTGGCATCACATCTGTCCCAGGCCGGCTGGCGATGGATGGATCGGTGACCACCTCCTCTCCGCATTACACCACTTGACTGGCAGGTCCCCTGGGAGTAACATCACTTGGAAGCTCTACAGTGCTTTTTGAGCGGGCCGCTGCCCTGGCCACGGGGAGATTCTCAGACCTTGCCCTCTGAGCACAGGTTGCCTTGGTGGAAAGACGTGGCTTCCTGCCCCTGCTCCTACCAGCCACAGAGTAGGTAGAGTCTCACTGCCTGAACCCATCTCAGCTCTGCAGTCAGTGTGGTTGCCCCTTCACGCCAACTCCTGTGCCCAGTGAGGGAGCCAAGATGCCCTCAGGCAGCTCTTCCAGTAGGAAGTGTCCCTTGGGAATGCTTCTGCATGAATTCCTGCTTACTTGTACCGAGCTCTTTCACCCCAAGCATTTGTGAGATGCCAAAGGACAGGTGATTTCTGCTCTTCCGGGCTCAGAAGCAGAACACCCCTCAAGGACATCAGTGAAACACCCTATCCTTTCTCCTTTAAGGGCCTTTGGACTTTTGTCAGTCAGGCAGGGGAACATCCAAGGCCTGTAAGGAACAGTTTCTCCCAGCAGTGGTGCTGGGCAAGCTCACTTTCAGGGGTTAGAGCTGAAGAACAATGACCGGGACAATCTTGCTTTGCTGTCTTTATCTTTGAATTAACAAGAGACCTGAGCTCACGGTACTGATGATCGGATCTCTCTCATGCATACCATTACCCACTCTTTTCTTTCAGTGATCAAGAGCACAATGACAGCGTTGCAGCATCATATTTCAGTTCTAACTCTGCCACCTGCAGCACCGGACTGCGTGTACCTGGCTTCTTAGGGGACACACTGTCTACCTTTGTTTTGCATCCTTCATTTAAAATAATCACAGAACACCTGAGTTATAAAACATACTTGGAAAGGATCACTTCTGTGCTGTGACTTTTAAATGTAAAAAAAAAAAAAAAAAAAAAAAAAAAGAACAAGTTCTTTGGCAGTTATGATTTTGGTTCTGTGCCCATGGCTCGTTTGAGGGCTGTGCAGATGGGTTTTTGCCACCTGTTGAGAGACGGGGAGCTGCTGTGGTCCCCTGGGTAGTTGGGGGAACCTCGGCTCCATTCACACCAACGTCACTTAAAACAGCATCCCCCAAAGGGGCATCAGGATGGGACAGAAGGGAGCAACCACTGACCTGGTTTCTTTCCTCTCACAGGACACAAGTACGAAGGAGTCAGATTTGAGAAGGGAAACTGCGGGGTCAGCATAATGAGAAGCGGTAGGTAGCTTCTGGTTGTTGAACAAGCACAAATGAAATGTTCTGGAAACCTGTAAGCAACTTCCTTTCAAAAAATGTGCAGGGACACTCCTCTACAGCAAAATTTTACCCAAACCTGCCAGTTGTTACTCCTTGTTAGGTATCCTTGATCACAGCATGCCAAGTACTGTATCTCACTGACCTCTCAGGAGGCAACTGTCCTTCCTTGCCTGCCACCAGCGACTCCTGCTCAGAGACAGACAGGTCTGCAAACAAACCACGCTCAGCGGCGGCAGAGTCACCGTCCTTTTGCCCAAGGCTGCGGCAGCCTCGGTACCCGCGATGTGAACTCCAGTGGCTCCACAGCTCCCGCGCTGCATTTTGCACCGGGGTGTCTCTGGGCAGAGCTCACAGACGTTCTCCAAACCCCACACGCTGGTTTCGACGCTTCCAGCTCTCGCCTTCGAGAGCTCAGCACTGCTGTGTGGGAATGCCAATACCCGGGAGCTCAGGAACACCGAGTAGACTCGGTTTTCGGTCTGAACAGACAAAAAAAAAGAAAACAGCTTCAAGTGTTTTTAACACTTGGAACCAAGGAAAAAAGTCCCCTTTTTAGAACTCTTCACCAATACGGTATCTGCACTGTCTGTTCAATTGTAGCATCTTGCAATTGTGCCATTTCTTAGCGTGTAATAATTTGTTGGGTTTTCTTCTGCTCATTTTGAGGAGAGGCAATGGAACAAGGTTTGCGAGACTGCTGCAGATCAATCCGCATTGGAAAAATCCTGATCCAGAGCGATGAGGAGACGCAGAGAGCCAAAGTGTACTACGCTAAATTTCCACCAGACATTTACAGGAGAAAAGTTCTTCTCATGTACCCAATACTAAGTAAGTGCCTTCCATCATTCCATACGGTTAGACTCACCTGAACAGTGACTGTGCTGAATTTAAAGGGAAATTTCCAAATTGCAGGGGCTTTGAGGAGGTTTTTTGCTTGGCTTAGGTGACACAGCAGGGAATTTATCAGGCTATGGGAGAATACGTATCAGTCAGCTTGCACCAGCATGAATGCAGAACAAATCACCTGGGCATGCCGGCGGTTGTGAGAAAGGCTGAAGCATTAAGACTTGATAGAAATTCAATTTTTTTAATTTTGCCATGAGAAAAGACTCAAACAGCCCTTTTCTCATGCTATTAAAAGACATTTCTGGATTAAGATTACCATCCTAGAAGTAAATTATTTTGAAATTAAATACAGTTAATAACTACCAAAAAAAAAGAAATATATAATCTGGTAAGTGTGGTAAGGAGTTTGTCAGGATGAAGTAACTTTTCCAGTGTAAGACTTCATTCTGGTTCTACACGTGGAGCTCTTAATTGCCATTTTACTATTTCAGATGAGCTTCCTTGCCTCAGGGCTTTAATAAAATCCACCAACTTCAGTGCTTAAAACCTGGCAGAGTTGGCTGTTTCAGAGCAGAGATTAAGCTCCTCCATCAGGAGACTGAAGATTTCTACAATTAATACGTGCAGAGGTGACAGTTTTCCAGTGGGAAAGGACAGTGTCATCTCTCAGTCACACACCAGCGTTAACACGGAGAGTCTGGGATGGCCTGGGACAAGTTCTTCAACCAAGGCAGGGGGTAAAATAAAAAAAATCTCCCTTTTCCCCCTTTTAGGTACTGGTAACACTGTCATTGAGGCTGTCAAAGTTCTTGTAGAACACGGCGTGCAACCAAGTGTCATTATCCTGCTAAGCCTGTTCTCCACACCGCATGGTAAGTGGGGGGGCGCGAGGGGAACAGAATTGGCCGAATTGTAACTGTTTGGGGTGGGCTAGCAGCAAGGAGGAGGCCTGATACACCTAGTGGGAACACTGCAAAAATTGGCCATGGCAGAAATCACTATCAGAAAAGTCAACTGAACTGCAGAGCATTATCCCTGGCAGTCTGTAACCACTTCCATGATTAGACTGGGACTATACGCATCGGGTAAAGAAAAGAAAAATCCAAATAAGAAAACGCAAAAAAGCAACCCACTAAATTCAGGAAGTTTTTCCTCACAGACAGCTAATGCAGAAACACAAAGTGGAGATGGATGCACAGAGCCTGACTTACCTCCAGAGTTCTGCTAATCGCGATATAACGTGTGGTGCTGAAACACAGCTGCAGTGCTTTAGTCATTATTGCCTTTGCCCTCTCTCAAAAGGTGCCAAATCCATCATCCAGGAATTCCCCGAGATCACCATTTTAACTACAGAAGTCCATCCTGTTGCACCAACACACTTTGGACAGAAGTATTTTGGAACAGACTGACACACTCGGAACAAACGGATGTGACTTTGATTTTACAAAAGGTTCTTTTTCTACATTTTATCATTATTATTGCTGAGTTGGTTGAGGGCGTGTTTAAAAATCTTTTTAGCCGAAGGGGGAAATACTTGACTTAGCTTAGTTCTGGTCAGTTCCTGCCTGAACACGGAATCGGGTACAGTAACAAAGCCCTCTCTCATTACAAAGTCAAGCATCTCAATGTTGGGCTTGTATAAATTGCTACACTCTCTGCTTTAACTTATTTATTTGTCTATAGCCGGTCTCATGGCTGCTTGCAAGAGCAAAATAAAACAGCTAAATCGCAGAGATCTGTGCTTCATTTCTCGTGGTAGTGTTGACACCACGTCAGCTGGTACAGCCAGTCCCTGCGCTTCCAAAACGATGGACACGCTTGGAACTCAATCGAATTCTTAGCAGCCACATTGAATTTTTAGCAGAATTTGCCATCTTTGGCTGGTGGCCAAGAAGTAAAGATAGAACTTTCTAAATTTTGCTCTGTTATAGATTATTTTCAAATAGGGAAAGCATCCACAGTTGTCTTGCTCAATGCTGCTGCACAAAGAAGGTTCCTGTTGCAGTGCACGTGCCCTGGCCAGCTGGGTGGGAGCAGCGCTGCCTCCAGAAATTCTACACACACAGTACTTCAGTTTCGCCTCTTCAAACTTCTGTGGTCCAATCGGCATCGCCCGCTCTTTTCAAGAAAGGAAAGCTCTGGCCAAAAGTCAAACTCAATTTCTCACTGTGTTTGCAGAGCAGCAGGGCTTAAGTCAAAAGCCAACTCTGGCCCCATGGCTTAGAGCCCTTTCAGAACACTCAAACCAGCGGCTGCATCGATCAGATTAAACATAAAACCAAAGAAAGTATTTGGCTGCAGATTTAAAGCCCCTGGCACCAAGTACAGAGTGACCAACACTTAAACTGGCTAGTATCTTACCTTACTGCAACTTTGGGAAGATCTATATATAAAGACAATACAGTTCATTATTATTTTTAAAATATATCCATATTCTAAGGAGTGCAGGATTACAGAATGTCCTCCCACGTGGAGTGCTTCGCCCCTCTCGGCTGAGCGGGAAGCCGGGGCCGGGGCTGCCCCCCACCCCCTCTGGCAAGGGACAGCGGTCAGCAGATCTTGGTTCTGACACAGATGAAGACCCTTCCCCACTCCCAGCCGTAATTTCCATTAACAAAAGTCATGTGAGGCTTCCAGAGAGAGAGGGTTTTGCCTGAGCAGAGGCTAAGTCATAGGAAATAACCATTCACATGTATAATAAATTAGCCAAAAATGGTTTTAATGCAGTCCTTGCCTGCAGTACAGTATAAACCATAATAGAAAATGACAAAGCAGAACGTACAGGATATTCAGCTGTAGAAACCATACAAACACTTGGAAAACGCTCGTGAAACGTACACAAAGCATTCATAATAAAGTCAGAATGTCTGTTGGACAGTAAAAACGAGTATCCAAAGCTTTTGTAAAAACCCATTTGGTATCAAAAGTCTCAACGCCGGCAGCAGCATTAAACTCCTGAACCCAACTAAACATCCCAGATGTTTTCAGCAGACCGGTTGTGACATCCACTGGAAAACAATTTACTACCACTTTAGTAAGGGGTAAGGAATCGGTACTGAACCAGACAGCTCCGAGCGGCGCCTCCTCGGCCGAGCGGATCAGCTCAGCGTACGCAAGTTACTCGCAGATGCCAACACCAGCCCGTGCTGGTTGTCTCTAACGGGGCGCTGCGGTGACACTCACGTGCGGGTGGCCCGGCCCGCAGCAGCTCCTGGGAGGGATGGAAGGGCGCTGCACCGCGGCCGCTCCCCGCGCGGGGGCCTGACCCAGCTCTTGCAGCCGGCGCTTTCCTCCACCCCAGCTTTCCTGCCAAAACACCAGGGAGCGGAACCCGCTCACTCTACCTTCAAGCGAGGTGAAAACCAAGCTCTGATGCTGAATTCTAACATACAGATAGGTCTGCCATGATCTGAGCCTGAGATTTAATTAAGTTTTATCTTTGAGGGACCCGTTTTCACGACAAACATAAACGGGTCAGTTTCAGGTGGAAAACCAGCTAGACAGATAGAATAATTTAGAAAATAACAGAACCTTTCTTGTGTTCTAAGTCACTAGCAAAAGGAAGGCTGAGTTCCCTTCTCCAACACTGCAATTAGGAATTCCTCTGGAAGAGCTCCTGCCCTCTCCAGCAGGAGCCACACCTCAGCGGGGTTACTGCCGAACGCCCACGCGTGGAGTTAGTTCTGAACAGCACAACAGGTTCCACCTACCTCCTCCCACAAGCTCCTGGTCAGAAACCTGCAGCTCCTCCTCAGGGGAGGCCCCTCCGTCCGCACCGGCCCAGGCGGTTCGTTACATCAGCCCATACCCCAGATGCTGATATGTGGAATTTCTCTTCCCCACATATCCGAGAGGCCCCCGGATCCTCCAGAAAAAGGCAGGGGAAAAAAAATTAAAAAATACACCAACGTTTTGAAAAATCCACTGGATTTTCATTTCTCTTATAAAAGTAAGTGCTGATCTGAGACCTTCTCAGTTCAGAAAGAGAGAGGACAAGTTTGTTTGTTTCCAGGCTTCCTGTGGGATTTAGCCCAAGGTTTAGCTCAAGAAAAATTCAAGTCTAAAAAGTACTGAAAGAGCAGGAATGCCTCCAGGTGAAACACCTGCATGCCATACGAGCTCTCCGATAGCAGCATTTGATGCAAGCAGGCATTTCTTTTTGAGCACAATTGGAATAAAGAAGCAAAGATGATCCCTTTGTCCTTTTCGTTGGGTTTTTTTTGGTTGGGGCTGTGGGGATTTTTTCCTCCACATAACTCTTCTACTTTTTTTTTTTTTTTTTTTTTTTTAAACAGTGGCTGTTGCCCACTAATGTGTTACAAATGCTACTGTAAATCTTAAAACCTCATACAGAAAAAAAATATTGCAAGCAGCATGAAAGCATAACCAACTTACAGGCTCATACTTGAAATGTAAACTTACATTTTATTTCACAAGGTTTAAATTCCAAACTGAAGCTGGAAAATGAGGAAATCAGCTTTTTAGGGAAGAGAGAAAAGCAAGGCAGGGGGTTAGATCCCACTGCTCTGGGCAAAGCAAGCTGAGCCTGAATGATGAGACTCCCAAACCAATACCTGACAAACATTAAGATTAGTTACAAATAAAATACGTGGCACAACTGCTTAAAATGACACCTACTCACCTGCATAGTATCCAAAAAACTGGCACAAACAGCTGAAAGCTGGTAATATTTTAACTATATATTAAGAAGGAAGAGGAAAGACTTGGAAAGGGAGACGGAAAAAGGACAAGAAGAATAAAACTGTGAAACAGTGGGTATGATCTCCACGTTAATTACCAGGAAAGGACATAAAGCATCACGCAGGAAGAGCAGAGGGTAACGCCACAGCTGCGCAGCGCCTGGTGCTGCCAAGCAGTTTGACAGACCATTACTTTTAATGAGAAAAGCCACTCTACCATGCAAATGCTTTACCTGATGGGTTCAGGACGAGTTTATTTTTGAAAGTGTTCCGTAAGAAAACAGAAGCTGACAGAATCGGAAAAATATCAAGAACACCAAGGTATTTTCAAGTACTGTGGATCAATTTCTAAAATCTGTACCACCGGAGTCACTGAAATGAAAACGTGACCCTCTGAGTTAAGTAATTCTGGCTTAATAAACGAGGTGAGCCCTGCCTCCTTCACCTGCTAATTCACCGCCTCCACCAGTGAGCCAGCTCTGCCAACAGAAATCTGTTCTGCTGGCGTAATGACTATGCCGGAGGCAGCCTGTCCCTGAATCTTAGCACATCCTTCTTTATGTTGAACTAAGGGGAAGAAAAGGTAATTTTTTTTTTTTCCCCCTGACACTTCACATTCATATTACATTACAGCCTTTATGCATCAGGTTTGGTAACTAAGTTGTGCTTTCAGCTCACACCAGCATACAGAACTAAAAAACTGCAGCTAGCCTAGATTTTGCCGAATCACATTTCTGGTTTGTTCCGGGAAGTAAAACACTCTCTGCTAGAGTGCTATTGGGGAGCTTCCCAGTTCTTGTCACGGACAGCGCACGACACGCGCTAGGTACAGCCTACGAAAACTGGACAGTACTGCTTCCTGTTCAGAGGAATATAATCTTATTCTACTCTAAAAATTCAGCAAGAGACAAAACAAAATTGCAGTGCAGTGAGGCTCAAAGAGCTCCCAACTCCTTGGACAGGACTCACTGGCCAAGGAAAGGGCTTACCCCAACACTATCCATAGAAACATCAATATGATGTTTTCTCTATTTTTTTTTTTTTTTTTTTCAGGAGTACAGTGTATCTGAATGTAAATGGGAGAGAAGGGGGAGAGGGGAGGAGGTGGCTGTTAGTGGTCAGTTATTCTGGAGCATTAACCTGGGGGTGCAGGGGTGAGACCGAGCGGCAGGCAGCACCGTGAAACCCAGCGAGAGCCGTTCCTTCGCCCAGCGACAGCCACTTGGGAAAGCTGCTTGTAGCAGAGAAAGCCCTCACTCACATGAAAGACGTGGAGCGCATTTGTAAAATGCTGAAACACAACAACACACGGGCCAAAGGCAAAGCAGAACGTGCTGTACCCGGGTTAAACCCTCACTTCTGTGCCCTGGCTGAAGCCAACAAAACCACGGCTGTGCCCAACACCCCTGGTGAGCCTCTGTCGCTCAGGCCGTAATTATCACCACCCGGCTGACGACTGTTGGTAGAATTACAGACGGGATCTGGTGGTCCTATTCCAGCTTCCACGGTCCCACTGAAACAGCCCCGAGAGCAGCCGTGCCCGTGAGGAGCGCGCTCCGGCCCGCAGCCACATCCACCGCCCCCGGCCACGCAAAGCCGAGCCAACAAAATCACTCTGCTCGGAATACGGGAGCTTCTCCACCGCCGGCTCCACCAGGAGTAGGATTGCTGCTAAGGACAAAAGCTGTTTCTACCCTGAGTAGAAAACCATTTCTTTTCTGCTTGATTCTGCAGCGCACATCTGACGCTAAGCCAGAGAAAACGGCCCCTGGGATGGGGCTGAGACACCCGCTGTGCTGCTTCCCCACTGCCCGGGGCTGCGGCTCCCCAGCTGAATGAGCACTACGGTCACACCACTTCAGTCAGCATCCCAACTGAGATTCAACCCTTAGGGGTTTACCCAGTTTTTTGGGTGTAACTGGATTTACAGCACCTAACTCGACAGAGACTGGCAGTAAACGTCATGGGAGGAATCCTTTGGGCCCAGCCTGCAGACTGCACCAGGGAAAGTGGAAATGGGTTTTACCCCTTAAAGAGCTGTTTGCGTGTTAGGAAAACTATCACACCCTGGGCTGAACACTTCCCCTCTTCTGCTGCCTGCAGCAGTGACTACAGTCAGCCTGGGCAATTGCTGCGTTCCAGTGCATTTACCCAGCATATCCAACGGAACTTTACACATTCTGCATTTATCACATTCTTTGTACGCAACTTTCTTTCAGAAGCTAAAGGGGAAAAAAAAAAAAGTCAATTTCAAAAGTAAATAGCAGCCCAGCTTTAAAACCACAGGTAGCAGGGGGCACAATCAAAATTACTGCGCTTATGCTGCCCAGATCTCTAGTTAACAGTCTTTTTAAAGGCCAAAAATACTGATTGGAAAAACTGTATTCTCCTTGGTAGGCCATCTGCAATTATGTTTGCGGCATCAGCTGCAATAATGCACCGAGCAAAAATATCTCGGCATCAGTACTTTGAGAAACATTAAGTTTCCCCCCAGGGATCTGGCTGTTCATTTACGTGGTGCCTTGAAGATCACAGAGGCGTAATGTCTCCACCAACCGCCAGCCTGACGCTGTATTCCTGGACACCCACCTCCCACTGCAGCTTTCTGCACCCCGCTCGAGCCCCGGGATGCAGAGGAACCTGCCCGACTATTCCGTGGCACTGGAATGCAGCACAAACAGGACAAAAGCCCGGCGTAGCATAAGGATCTCTCTGCTAAGGAAGCTGGAGAGAACAAAATGGAGCTTGTTCTCTCACTCAGACGGACAGTTTCTCCACATTTCGTTCTGCTGCATTTTTACACAACTTTTGTATTTGTTTCACGTTTCATCCTGAAGCTTTCAAACATCTGATGTGTGAACATTGATCTGAAGTGCTTCTGACACTCTCAAACTATGTATTGCTTCTACCTGGACAAGAGTTAGTTACAACCGCGTGAGGCTGAGCCGCGTTCAAGGAAAGGGAAAAATCAACCATGAGTTAACAGAAAAGTTACTGAGCAAGAGTAAGTTACTCGGAAACCTTCAAGGCTGTTTCTAAGTCTGAGCTGGATTGCGGCATTATCATAAAGACATCTGTTTTAATACTAATTAGAAGACAAAACCTGATTTTATATGCTACCTAATGAGCAGTGCTGCAGCTAGCCAGCAGGCAGGGATACTGCCTGCAGACCCTGTAGCTCTTCTGCTGCTGCCACTTGGCAGAGAAATGACACCGAGAGAATGACACGGCTGTAAACAGAACCAAATCCAGAGCGGAGACAAGAACCTGCTCAGAAAGCCCCTGTAAACCCACACGGCTGCCGACACAGCTCTGATACTTTGATCTTAGAAATCCTCTTCAACTGACTGACACAGAAAGTCACCAAATCTTCTTCCTGTTTACACGAGGAAGTTCGAGTTTTAAAAGGCACGAATAGCACCTCTGTTGGTACTAAATTCCTATACAATTCCTCTTGTGTTTAGCTGCCATCTTCCTCTCAAGATCCCCCTCCAGAACACATCTGGCCAGAAACGAGGAGATTAATTCTGCTGCCACCCTTCATCAAGCACAGCTTAAGGTCCACCACGAGATTTACACCAGAAACGCAGGTTTGGATCAACAGGGAAAATAGTTTCATCACTCAGCAGCCGTTTGATGCCGGAACCACCCGACAGACGTGCTCAGAGTGGCTGGAGCAGGAACATTCAGCGTGTTCAGTACCGCTCTGAGGAGAGAGTAACCTACACTAAGCCCAGGAGAGCCCACCCCGACTCCTGACCACTAAATTTCAGCAACAAGACATCCCAGAGAGGTCACTGCCTGCCCCACACCCAGCTACAGAGGCTGATGGATAAAATACCTGCCCGCAGGGCAGGGGGTATACCAGGTAGTTAAACGTCTACTCTTATGGACAGAAAATCTCTGCAAGACTCTTCTCTTTCACGAGCACATGGCCACTGGTAGCTGTGGCAGAATAAGCAGAGGAAAAAAGGATTTAGTATGTAAGCGAGGCCTTTGTCACCAAAGAGATACTTATCAGGTAATTTCTCAGGACATGCGCAACTGCTTCTGTGGTCACTGTCAGCACAAATGGGCTGATAAACAAACACAAAACCAGGATAGAAAATGGTAACAAATGATCTTAAAGGCAGTGTACTAATACTTTAAGCATGCACCTAATTAAAACATGAGTGATGGAGTTGCCAGCTCTGAATCATGCAGATAAAAAAAGACTCAGGTCTAGAAAAATACGTATAATCCTGCCAGCAAATTCTCAGTTCCATTCCACAGAATGAAAACAGCGATACATTCCTTTGACTGCAAATGGAGCAAAACGAAGAAAAAATCTGATCACCTCTTAGTGCTGAAAAAACCTTTAAATGACCAGTCAATACATTTACGTAGGCAGAAGTCTGAAACAATTCAGTACAACAATTGTCTCTTGACCATTACTGGACTAAACCCACCTTTGTGGAGTGTAAACTCCCAACACTGCTGTTGGAGCTAAACTTTCAGTGCACGTTTCCAACTCATGTGTTTCGAATTTACATCTTCCCTTCTGACTCCATAAACACACAAATTTCCATCAAACACTGATCCAGGAATGAGTTCATATTGTAGCCCTAGGAATTAATGCAAATTGTACTGTCTACAGTTCCCTTTTGCATTTTAGGTGCCTGCAAGGAGGATTGGGCTTTTAAAGGGCACTCAAACTCTAAGACAATTACACCTTCCTAGAACATTTTTAAAAAAAAATGTATGGCCACAATATTCTTGAATCTTGACACTGGCAATGTGAATATTGTATTTTCATACACAGCTGCACATGTATATATGCATGTTCAGCATTTTTCCTCTCAACACACATCCAACTATCAGTTTAGTGCCAAATTTAAGTAGGTCTGTCTCTCAGTGAGTTCCACTGACTCAGACAGATCTTTAAACACATTAGAGAATGCCACTTGTCAGAGAAGGTTGGAGAATCAGTCTCAAAATAAATACCATCCCCAAGAATATTATGGCTTGGAGGAATTTCAAGAACTTGAGTCCCTGATGTTTGCAAAATGAAAAGGCCTTTGGAAATGCACTCGCATCAATATTTTTACCTATTTTGAATAAAAAATATATATTATTTATAAAATAAAGAGAGCAGGCCAAAGAAGATTGGCCAGAATCACTCTATAAAACTGTTCTTTTCACTCCGTAACTTAAACTTATAAAGCCTTGAAACATCTGGATAGCAGGATTTCTGGAGAAGCACTCTAGAATGCAGGTTCCAATCAGACGATACTTCATGATGTTTTCTCATCTTGAAGATCCACTTGTTTTCTGCCCCTCAAAACTGAAGCCCATGCCAAGAGAAGGGATGTTGACTCCTGAGAGGGATGCTGAAATTTAAATAAAGAAAAATGTGCAACTGTAAGCACTGATCTGATGAGCAATAGATGGCTGCGTCTAATCTCGACTTCGAGCGTCATTTTAAAGCCACGGAGAACGACAGGGAAAATGCTGGTTTTTCACTCCCTCAGTAGAACAGCAGCACGCAGTCCTCACTGACTATCGACAGAAAAAAAATACTTTGTTGTTGTTTTTTTTTTTTTTTTTTTTTTCCTTAGTGGAAGAAAACAGAATCACATCTACAATATGCAAGAAGCCCATTTAAAAAAAAGCTCATTTATAAAAAGCTCATTTTTAAAAATTATAGTGCAGGACTAGGCAGTGGGTTACAGTGCTCTGCAGTTACTCAACACCCACAGAGATTAGAGGGGCACATTCTGACTGTTCCACCTCCTGCAAGTGGGACAGCAGAGGATGCTCCTTCAGTCTTGCTCAGTTACACCCCACTGTGAAAACGTTCCACGGGGGCTGACGAGGACACAGCCTGCAGCTCACTGCAACAGTCCGTGTGCAGGACAGCGCCCCGCTGTTGAGGACGGCAGCACAGATTACAGAGCAGGGAACATCCTGGCAGGAGCCTCTTCCCCAAACTGCATCATCTGTTGTTGCGCCCAAGTTTCTCCAGGGTGAAAAAAAAAACCTAGCTAAGAGAGTAGCAGCTGATGTGGGCATTACAAGTTACTTCCATTTATTCCTAACTGCAACTTGGCTGTTCTCAACTTCAGTTTCTTTTAAGACTGTATCTGTGCCTTCCCACACCTCGCATGAGTCACCGAACAGATTTCCAATCCTGTACTTGTACAAACCAACGCAAGAGTCGCTCCTGCCGCCTTTACCGGGGGAGCTGCAGGGTTTGCATCCTCCCCTACACCCAGTGCCGTCGGCTCCCGCGCTACCTGCGTCACCAGCCAGCCCAGGGCTACTGGAGAGCCACTGTTTTCTTTTAGGTTCTCCTAAATAATATATTGCTGCCTAGGATGGAGGAACACTGGTGAAATACTACCGAGGCACCAACGCGGGGCTCTGGCGAGGGCTCGGAGGCGCAGGCGGCACCGGAGCGGGCTCTGCCCCTCTCAAGGGCAAATCCTGCCCGGCCTCACCTACCGAATCCCCCGCAAGAGAGGCTGTTTTGAAGGTGATGAAGGAAGAAATACTGACCTTTTTGAACAAGCTTTGTACCGCTGCATTGTGAAACTGCTATGTCTCCCTTTCTATGGCAAGGGATGAAGCTTCACCAGAATCTATACAATGAAAAACAAAGCAGTTAGAAGTAAGTAAAGCTGGTTCTCCTCGCCGAGAATGTATTTTTCACTAAGTAAGGGAGTGTGTTTTTAAGAATCGTTCCAAATAAAAATAGACAACCACTTGCCAGAGATAACTGAATAGCATTTTTTAAACTGAGATTACTCCATTATTGGCTTTATCTATTTCATAACAGCGTCACAAGCTTTAAAGCCATAAAGATCTTTTGGTTTTAATGGAATATCTCAGGCCTTTCCCGTTAGAAAATTAAACTGGTTGACTTCTGTTGTGTAAGATGGAATCTGAAAACACTAAGCTTAAATTGCTTCATTTGCTGATGCCTTACACAAAAAAAAAAAAAAAAAAAAAAAAAAAAAAAAGCAGTGGTGAGAAAACAAGGAAGAGTACAACACTGCCTACGTTGTGCCACATTTGTGCCTACAACACAGTCTTCTAAAACCCAACTGCCAGGTGGGTGCGAGGGCACCAAAGCTTAATGACCCAGGAAACCGTGTTCTCTGAGTACTGTTGGATTAATACAGCCATGGTAGAAATACATGGTTATATATTTCACACACTCATGGTAAGATTATTCCTAAGCATTTTCACTTGCAAAATAAAAAGGTCATTTTTCCCATGAAGACACACAGTTTCAGCCCAAATCTTGGAAAACTGAAAGCTGTGGAGGTCAGACTTAAGCCATATATAAGCAGCACAGAAATTTCTACTTTAAACCTACGCAGGGAGGTTGAGGCAGTTGGGCTTGTTCCATCTGATGAAGGGGAAGCTCGAGGTCAGTCTAACAGCAGCCTGCAACTATGTGGGGACTGTTTAAAATGACAACTGGCCTGAAGGCAGCTCATACCTCATGTTCAGTGGGAACAGCATCCTGCTGATCGTAGGCAACAACATTTTGCTCTACTGTAGATCTGTATTGTTACAGCAACTAATAACCCAGAAACTCAAAGCAATTTCTATGCATAAATTTATCTTCATAACCCACCTGAGAGACAGGAAGGTTACCATGCTGTGTTTCCTCCCTGCAAAACACGGTTAAGTGAAATGCACTGTCCTATAAAAAAAATTCAAAAATCTGCAGCAGCTACAGAAGTAAGATCCAGTTCCCAAATTCATACTTCCAGAGTTGCTCCCATGCCTGTCACAAACAGGATTTCAAAACTGTGTTGCTCTGTAGACATCTTACACTGATCTTGTGCTGTTCAGTTTTAAGATCCAGAACTCGTTGTAAGACATGATGGTCAAAATGCAAGAATGGCATCAAGCAGTGTCAAATATCAATTTGTCACAGAACTTTCTTTAATTTTCTCCAAATGAATTTTCTCTGTGCAGGTAAATAAAGACAAACAAAAAGCAAACACTTCCCCCTCACCACTCAATGTTACATACACAACAAATAAATTTGCCTAGGCCTCTTATTTCCTTATTATGTATAAAAAGAATCAGTCCTATTTCCATTATCAGGTTATTTTTGTAATTATTAGCATAGACATCTATTTTACCATGCAAAATCTAATACATTTATTCAGATGGAACGTTCCACCGAGCAGCCCTTTACTCTGCCTACCTTTAGGAAAGCACACAATCCAAATGTCAAAGGGAACTGATAAAAGGATATATAGGACCTGCTGGCTCAGGGACATTAGTCCCACTGAAATTTCTCTATCAGCTTTTTATGGAATATCTTTTTTCATCTAATGGATTCAGCAGCTGCAGGTCTGATCCACATACAAAACCATATTCGTTCTACTAAATATATTCACTAATTAATTTAGTTGAACTGATGCAGGTTCCTGCACAGGTACCCCATTGTTTCAAAACTGGTTAGACAGCACTCATCGATGTAGGGTTTAGCACTGCTTTAACTTAATCTTTTACTGTCAGACACGCTTTAACCATTTATATTGTTCCTAAAATCCAGAGATGCAAACCTAGTCTTTTGTCTCAGTTTACTGAATTGGCCAATACACCGTCGTACTGTCTGAGCAACCTCTGCTCACTTCCAACATCCAAACTGCTTTTTAAACATCTCCATGGATGGCAGTTCAATCCCTACAGTCACAACTGGTGACCTCTCTACTTAAGGGACTGCTATGCCAACTTAGCTGGTATCTCAGGACATGAAGCTTTTTTAATTAGACTCCTACTGACTTGAATTTAAATTCAAATCACGTGCCTCCAGATACCTGAAGCTTCATCACACCAAGAGATCTCAACTGCCACCTATTCCACAGGATATGCTGGTTTCTGCTGGAAAGATGTTACTTCGTACAGATGTCAAATTTTTAAAGGTGAGAACAGTTTGGGAAAGATTTGATTCATACTGAAGCCTTTCTTACAAGTTTAAATGAAACGCACGATTAAATTAATAAATCAACCTAAGAGATGAGATGTTGCTATAAATGTACAGGAATGGCTGTCCTGTCCTAGGCTCCACGAGGCAAAGTGTGCACTGCCACCCCCATGACCAGCATGTCAAATACATTCTAGATGAGTTCTTTGAAAAAACTGATAACCTTATAAGCTGCCAGCTTGTGATTCTGGGGTAGCTCACTGGCTAGACAGATTCAACAGATGCCTGTGAATAAGAGATGAGCATTAATAAATCTGAAAAAAATTCAAATTACGACTAATTTGGAAGCAAGCATTTTCAGTCTCTGGCTAAGAAATGAAACAAAAGGTTCCACACAAGATTTTTCTCCCTAGATGAAACAATAAAAGCCTTAGCAAGGCTAGGATTAAGAAAAAAAAGAAAATCCAACCAGGAACAGCCCATTTAAACGTCCGCATTACAGAAAAAAGGACAACCCTGGGGATAAGGTGACTGAGAAGATGGTCTGTACTCTCATGGGACCTGGATGGAGCTACCTCATCTCCTTGCTTTCAGCTGGGCTTGTCCTCTCCTCATGATTCTCCCCCAACATCCACATGTGAGCTGATTTTGCAATCGTGGGAGCTTAAAAATGCCCCACCTTATGCAGACACAGAATAATCAGGGTGGAAGCAAAGGACTGCAGTAATGCAGTTAGGCACAGTAACAGTACACAAAGAAACATTTCATCAAGCTCATTTTTTCATCATTTCTGTGGTGTTTCTCTCTCTTCTGCATGAGCCTGGAGCGAGGGACTCGACTGATGAGGCTGCTCCTCACCCCTGCTGCATCACACAGGCACACCAGCAATTACAGGTGAAACTCCCGGAGGTGAGAAACCCCACTAAATACAAAGGGCAGATATTATTCGGATCTTGGAGCAGCTGGCAGTGCCATCTCCTAAGATTGAAATATCTGAACTTTCACGTTTTCTCAACTGTTGCTTTGCCTAACGTCCCATTAATAGGAAAAAAATCCAAACCTGGTGCCTTTTCTTATAGAACTCCCCCTCCCTCAACAACTTTTATATTAACCTAATGATACACAGGTATTTGTTACCTGTGCTGGCAGAATGGTACAGCCTACAGCTTAGGGAAAACGCTCCATGAGATTGATTTATGCTGTATCACAAAACTACTTTCTCAAAAAACATTTTGTATGTTATACAGTTGGACTCGATGATCTTCAAGGGCTTTCCCAATCCAAACGATCCTGTGATTACTGAATCAATCGTGACCCTCCCTGCTGGTCCTGCAGAGCCAGGGCACTCGCAGAGTGCAAGACTCGGGCAGCCCTGCCCTGCCGTGGAGCTGGCCGAGGAATGCTCCGTGCAGCGCTCCGCTCCCGGCGCTGGATCGGCGGCAGGCGCTGCCGGCCCTGCGGCACCCGCCACAGGAGCATCCAGGGACCGGGAGGGGGGGCGACAGCTTCCTCCCCTCCCACCCACACACACTCCCCCCCGCCAGGCTCCACGCGGGATTTCTTCTTGCAAAATTCGGATGGTCAGACTGAGAGCTGAGAGTTTGTTAGAAAAATAAGGGGAAGCGGATTTCCCCCAACGCCTGCTCTAGGAGCTGGATTCCAGTTCCACATCACCGACCTGCAGACAGACGAAGGACACAGTCCCCTTATCTAGGGCGTTCTTTTATTTGTAGTTCCCACCTTTACCTCACAGCCACTGGAAAAAAATTAAAACTCCTCCAGTCATGGACTCAGACCCACATACTAACAGCTAGCCATCTACTCACAGCGTGTGTGCTGCCTGTTCTGTCATTTTTGTCTGTAACCTCCTAGAGGCTCAGTTTGGCTTTTACACCACAGTAAGAGATTCTAATTTTACCAATATTACAGTTCTACAGCTTCTTGGAATAAGATTACAAACTATTTTTTCACTGAGAAAGACTAGTAGAATAGAATATTTCAGTTGGAAGGGACCTACAAAGATCATCTAGTCCAACTGCCTGTAAATGTCATTTATTTTATAAGCCCTATAAATTGTGAGACTTCATATAAACTCCAGATTCAGATTCTGGGGTCTGATGTGGCCAAAAATCATCTCGCTGTCAAACGTTTTCATACTTAAGAATTAATTTTTTATTCAGAGAATTTATACTTTGGAAGAGCTGGAAGAAGTTCTGACTCATTCCTAGAGGAATTGTTTTAAGCATCAATAAACAACAAAGATTTTGTTATTTTTGAAGCCAGTTCGTGTTATCCTGTAACTGCCAAAATGTATAGAATGAAACAGGAAGAACAGGTAGTTTTCTAACACACAATTATGAACTAATTAAAGCAGTTATTCTGAAGAAAAGTTGGAATGAGCCTTTTAAATCCTATTGACAAAATCCTGGAGAGCACATTTTCCCAGCGGTACATGAGGGGTGCCTTGGAAGACACACAGACTGTTTATTCTACATTGGAATAATTTGAAGAAACAGCTGCAGGTAAGACCTAACCAGAGCCTGAACAGCAAATACTGTGCTGTTAGGATTCAAGAGCTCATTGCACAGTACATTGCACATATGTAAAAATGTTCACACAAGAAGTTTCTGTTACCCCTTTTAACCAAGACCATAGTCTTCCTCACAGCTTCCCAAACATACACTGTGCACGTGACTAAAATGTATACCCCAACAGGGATATATTATCATATATTTTATATATATATATATATATATAAAAAGGGAACCTGTGGATGGCATCCTGGCTCCACAGGAAAAATGTACGAGCCCTTAACTTACTGATGGGATTTCTGAACCCTCAAACATGGTAACTGGGGTCTCTGACATGAACCCTGATACACAGCGTACTCTCCAAAGACCAAAGCTTGGAGGCAAATACGCAAGGGAAAAAACAACATCTAGCTCAAACAGAAAAATGTAACAGTAAAGAATCATTAAACTAATTTTAGATCCATCTAATAAAAATCATCACAGAATGGATATACGTATAAAGTCTTTTTTCTAACAGGACATCCACAGCATAAAAGGTATGTTTACATTTCAGAAAGAATTGTTCTCAGCACATACATTCCTTCTGTGCAGATTAGCACATAGCTAGGCAAGTATCACAACCAAATGAACTTCTTTACTCTTGTAATAAAGCTGAACAAAGTAGAAAGTAGCTTCATAAATGTATGACTGCATTCAGGTGTTTTCATGCATGCCTTCACAAACTCTCAGAGGATACGTACACTTAAAAAAAAATAAATCTTCCTCTTCATTTTTACAGGCACAACTTTATGTCTCCAGTAACTGTGCTGCATGGAGCAACATTTACATATAAATACACTCAGTTTGTGGAAATTTCAGTTTCTCTCTGCGACTTGTAACAACCTCACAGTTCATTTCCTTGCAAGTTTACAGATACTTCTACTACTTAAAAAAAAAAAAAAAAGAGTTGACTCTAAAGTAGGGCTTACTTTTAGTCTATGTTCATTAGTCAAGTCTGAGCTGCCCAGTGACTGAGCCAACACAATTTTTTTATTTGATTAGCTCTTATAATTTGTCCATTAATCACTGTGGGTCAAGACACAACTAATTGCCTTTAGTGTTACCTTACCATGAGGCTCTTCATCTATTCCATCATCTTCCCACTGCTCTTCATTTGCTAGGAGAGGATTCTGAGCTTCAGACAAAGCTCTCATTGGGAAAAAATGTCCATCGCCCTGGCTGCATGGAAAAAGGCAGAGAAAGACACTGTAAAAAGTAGCAAGTGACTCTGAAGGATGACAATTTCTGCAAACAAAGTTTTCTGTTACCTGTATTTCCAATGTTTACTTTAAAATATCTTTTAAGTTTTGAAAAATACTGTGTTTATTTTTTGTGGCAGCTCAGATACCAAGTTTTCCTTGCAAGTAGTTTAGGTCCTCAATTCCTTCAAGCTCTCTGGAGAATAGAAGTTCAAACCTATAGCCTGGAATTAAGTAATTTTTAGCAGAACTTAAATGTGCCTAGCTTGATCAAGTCATCTGGATACTGAAAAAAAAAAAAAAAACATATAAAAAAACCCCCAGAAAAAATATTAACTTATGGACAACTAGAAGTGAGGGGGGAACTAAGGAAAACATTCATGTAGAAGAAGCAATTTATCCCACAGGTATGAAGTCTCTCAATTTATACCATAGATTCTTCAGGGCAGAAACTACACTTCTGTGTTTGAATGTCACCCAATACAAAATGGCCCAAATCTTAGTTAGATGTTACTGAAAAACAAACGAAAGACCCACTTTCCTGTGACCTAAACCTGGACACGAAATGGAAAATAATTAATTAAATAAATACACTCTGTGAAGATCGGAAGTTGCGAAAGCTTTTTTTGCTTTATTACTGCCCAAAGAGAAATGCATCAAACAGGAGTTTGAGAGGATGTTCAAATCCCTTTAATGTAAACTAACGAAGTTAAACAGCAGATGTTCTAGCTTGGTCTGCACCACGCTATTCCCTAACATCCAGCAGCAGAGACAGAGGAAGTGTAAACTACCTGCAGTGCCTTTTTCCTCTGATGATTTATCTTCACGCAAGGAAAATAAGCGGCGCGTTCTCCCTGCGATGCCTACAGGCAGCGGTAACGCGCCCCTGACCTGCGCCTCAGTGCTGCCTTTCTTTAACAGCAAGGCTTTCTGGGCTGAGCTTTGCCCTTTAACTACACGTAAGGGTGGAAAACAGCTGGCAGCGGGGATGCAACCGGGCCCCCGACTTATACACTGCTACTTGGAAAAAGTTGTGAACTGCTGTGTCAGGAAGTTATTTTAAATCATGTCCAATTACTAAAGGAAGTAAATTCCAGTGTACTTTACTACTGGTCTGCTAAGTGGCAAAACAACATTTTCCCCTACATTAAGAAACATAAGCTCCGCTCCAGGCAGAGGCGTCCGAGGGATGAAGGAAACAGCATCTCTGCGGTGAACACGCACCCAGACACGTGCCACAGGAGTCCAGGAAGAGTTCAAACACCCTGTGCAGCACATCTAGCCCTCAAAAACCTTTCCCTTCCAGACTTCTGGGGAACGGGATTTACAGAGATGATGCTTGCCGGTGCATTTACAGTGATGCACAGGAGTAGTTAGCCAAGCCACACAACAACAGGCGTAACACAAGAGGCTGTAGCAGACATTTGGAAGTCAATCCCTTCGGTTATTGTATCAGCTTTTAGCACTGACTTGATTATTACTTACCTAGAGGCAATAGGTAGTAACCAGAGCTTTTTTTCTTCTCCAAACACTTGCTGAAGGTTCTTTACAAAGCCAAGATTGAATCCATTTTTATCTGGGCCATTTTGAAACACTGGAGCTGAGAAAGCCTCTACACACAGATGCAATTTCAGTGAAAAAAATGAAAATCAATGCCAAACACTCTGAAACGGGATTGTGCATGTTGTAGCCATCTAAAGACAACATGATTTAACAGATTATGAACTAGCATTACAAAGATACGGTCTGAAAATAATAGTTTTTTCATTTTGCAAGCCTGTAAAGACTTTCAAACTGACAATAGGAATTTGGTCTTGCAACTGAACCATATGGAACAGTCAAACCGAACTACAAACGCTTTGTTTAATCTAGAGAGCACAGTTAGAAGACCTTTGCGTGAGACTTGTTGAAATTCAGTGGGTAGAAATTTCTAAGTAAAAAATCCACAGAATTAAGTAGGCTGGTCTTCAATGCATATTTGAGAAGTGGCACCGGACATTTAAATTGCCTCATTCATTAATGATATAATGAACAAGCAATAGGAACAAACATATGCAAATAGACCCTCTGTTACGGTGAGACATAAAATTAAGAGAGAGGAGGAGAACCCAGAGTGCACTAGAAACAATTTTATCTACCTTCTAAGCTGCTGCAGAGGTCTGATGTTTTAGGATACATGAACTTCAGTGCCCCATGAAACGGGTTTTAAAGTTAGCAACTACACAAAATCTATATATTTGCTCAAACTAGTGTGTGTTTTGTTATGAAACTTTATCCAAAAAGCTTTAAAAATGAAACAATATTTATCTGAGGAAAGACAAAGAAATCACTGGACAAAATCATACTGTTTCAGATTTTCATTTCATTGGTTTTGCAGTCATAACTTCTTTGCTATTGTCAGTGAAAATGGACAATTTTTCCCAAATTTACCAAGCTGTTTTAGGATGCACTCCAACATGTGATCGTAAAGAACCATTATCCCTGAAAAGCTGCACTCATTTCACAGCAAATGCAGTTATACATATGCAAAACATTTTTATAATTGGACTTTTATACTTTAAGGCTCTCGTTTCCCTAACAAAGCATTCGACACACCAGCTAATAAATGCAGCTCATCTGAAGTGACAAATTTCTGCAGCACTATGCCAAGATCTTAAATCTTCCTCCCCTCATAAACCAATAGGAACGTATAGAAGAACACAAACTAATTTTTTTTTCTTTCTTTCTTCTTACGGCACTTACCTAAAGTAGATCTGTTTCTACTAACGAGCCAACAATGGTAGCCAAACAGAAACATAAGGCTCACGAAGAACATGACCGCCACAAAGAGAAGGAATAGGACATGAAATTTGGAACGTCCATTAGTCAGTTCACCCTGGAAAGAAGAGCACGACAGAACAAGTGATAGGAACAAAGAAAAGCTGGAAATTCTTTCTTCCTAGAGAGAGGATATCCTCTAAAACTCCCATTTGGAGTTCTCCAACTTGTATACCCAGAACTCACCCCTAACTATAAAAAGCAAGAAGAGACAAAGAAATGACCTGCTTCTTTTCCCCTCCTGTAACCAAAGCAGGAGGAGCGGGGCTTTGCTACCAACCGGTATGTAACAGAGCCGGCAGGATCACAGCTCCCCTGGGGGCACAGGACACAGGCCCTGTGCCCACAGGGAAAGAAGCAGGCACAAGCTCCTGAAGCCCCATTTACGTTCTGCCGACTTTCCTGCGTGTACGTCCAAATTCTGCACCTCTTGCAGTAGAAGGCGTGCCAAGAAAACCTGGCCTCCGTAGCCACAGCGATCGGGCAGTGTTAGAGCTGAGCACAGCTGGTTTGGACAAGGTGAAAAGCCAAGCGGGGTTTTGCAAGCAGGAGAAACACTTCTGTCCTTCTGCAGGGGAAGAGCCAAGTGCCAGAGATCCTCACAAGCGTACATCTACACAGGGAGGCTGTGGGGACCTCGGAGTGAAAAATGACTCCTCAGGCTTTGCTCATGCAGCCACAGAGCTCAAGCCTGTGTGCCTGCCTGAGCATGAGAAAGAACTCCTGCGAGTGCCCCGTGAGCATCGCCAGAGGGATTGTATGGAAGTGATTCGCCACCAAAACAACAGAAATGTATTAAACTAGAGCACAGCCAAGTTAAGTTTCTGAAACACAGTCAGTGAGTGTCAGCAGCAGAGGGGACAGAAAAAAACTAGAGACAAAAGGCCAGTCTCTTACTGGAACTGTCAGTTGGCATTGCTTGCATATGAATGATAATTGAGAACTGGGTAAGAAGCGTACTTTATTTCAGTCAACTTTTAAATGGAGAAGGGAGTCGCGTGGGGATTAGAAAATGAACAAGGTTTGATATTGTTCAGTAAATACGTACAGATCAGTGCCAGGTTGATCAGTTGGTACCACACATTCTGAGATGCATACGTGCAAACACAAGACTGGGAAAAGGGAACAACTTTTTGCCAGAAGCTAACTCTACAGTTTGAAATTCCTGCAGTCTGTTTGCTTCTCGCTTTGTGCTTTTCAGACGGATAATGGGAGTTACACTCAAAAAAAGGGCACAGGAAATACCGTAGGGAAGAAATGCAGACCCTCCATTGACTGAAAGCAAAAGAGTAACAGGAGTGACTGAATCCCACCAGACTCATAGGATATGAAAAAGTAACCAGATTTGACAACTTACTGTCCAATACTTAATGAAATACTTGAAGACTGTTGCGGCAATATACAAGCAATACAACAAAGCATAGGCTAAGAACAGCAGGAAGAATTTGTAGTTAGAAAATCCAATGCAGTTATTCACCCTGGAGAACAAAAGCAAAGTTGGAATCAGGATATGTACAGCACACCGGGGTAACACAATGAATTCTGCAAGTTTTCGGGTTTTATTAGGCCTGGTGAGTATAGATCACAATTTCGTCAATAAATAGCTCCCCTTAGTGGCCAACATGAAATATAACTCAAGTCTCTGCTTTTCACTTGACAACTTCTTGCTATGCCAAGTCAAAGGACAGTTCATATTTTTGGAATCGGTTTTCAATTTGGTACCACTGGCAAATTTGTCACAGAGGCAGGCTCGAATTCCGCGTGCCTGCTTCTTGTCTGCAAAGGTAATCAGATCTGGGATTTCTGTGTTCCTTTCTACATTTGCAAAGCTCGGGAGCCAGATTCCCCACGGCTTGTTTGCTGACATCCAAAACAAAGAACCCCAAATTTGATTATCACTCTCCATGCACAAGACAACTCGAAAAAGGAACAAGGGAATGCAGGAAAAACAGCAGGTGTTTGTCTCAAAACCCCGGGTTGAAATATCCTCTACGATTTAGGATTACCAGGGAGGTTCGGGTGGGGAAATGCTTGTGTTGGTGCTGATTCCTGAAATCCTCCTTTATTTTTTTAAAAAAAAGACGGACGGAGTTTAAGAAATTTAGCGTCAGCAGTTCCCAGAAAGTATAAAACTTATTTCATCCATGCACCATTCTGCACCAACTGTCTCTGACCGTGCACAGGTGGCAGGCATCATTTCAGAAACAATCTGCGTGCAAATATTGTTATTGAAAGCAACCAGCAACTGCATGCTGAAACGGCTCTATGCCCAAAACTAAAGGCTAGGTTGCAGTCCCTCTAAAATCTGAATAAATGTCACAGAGTGAATTAGCAGTTGCGTTTTAAGTTATATTGCTGTAACAGCTCTTTGACACGTAGTTTATGGAACAAACGTGAGCGATCTGTCTGTCAAAATCATCAAGCATTTCAGGCAATTTCAAAATGTAATTGTTTGACAAGTTTCCCAACACAGAGGGATGCATGGCCTAAAAGGAGAGGGGCACACAGGCACTCCTCTGTGCAAGAAATGTATTTAAACAACCTCTCTTTGCAGAAAAGTACAAACCGGTGCCTAGGACGTACCACGGACAGTGATGATCCATTTTTAGCACGCATCTGCAAAAGGACAAAAAAGAAAAATGGAGGCTGAGTTCATGCTTAATCAGTTCATTTTCACTAGATGGCATGCTTTCTAGCAGCGCTGAGACACTGGTAGGTGTGGGAACTGCAAACACTTCAGGGCCACAAATAGCAGGAATGCCACCGCTACCGCTGTCGCACCCGAGCGTACGCTGCTGACTGCGGCTGGGCCACGGGTACTCGGGCACCTTCCTGTGTGAGAAGACACGTGAAGGACCAGCCCGGCCACGTAACTTAGTGGTGACTCTGTTCACTTCAGTGAAAAACAATCCAGTAACTTACATAGCACAAACGGAACAATGGTGACAACGATCGGGTTTTATTAGCTGGCATCTATCACAGAATCGAATACCTGAAATTAAAGGCATATTAATACCAAATCACAGAAAAGCGCTCCTTTTTCTTCGCATGTTAGTTAATATTCTGCTCAGTTCCTAACTACTCATGTTCTTTCCTCTACCACTTCAAAAGAGGAGTGCATTTGCAGCTGCTTTTTGCTGCCAGGTCATAATCAGATAAGCAATGCTCGTAATTCTTCGGGAGACGTGCAGATGTGGGGAGCAATCCCCACTGCAACGCGTACAACCAGCTTAAAAGCGATAAAAGAAAATTGTACATTTCCCTCTGGCTTCCACATTTAGTCAGACTGTACATATCATCCATTTTGATAATTGCCTATGCAGCAGGTCTTTACTTCAGAATTCTTTGGATTGTCTGACAGAAATGAACAGGTCAGAGCCTCCGATATGAACGCGGATTTCTTTTAAGCTTTGAAAGGAGTGCAGTGTGCATTTAATCACAGAACAAGGTCCAGAAATCTGTGCAGAGAATTATGTCCTGTATCTCTAGGCTAGACTCCATTTTAAGCAAAAACGAGAACAGATTTTGTCATTCTATTACTAAACACAGACAATGTAAGTAGGCTTTTGAACTGGAAATACAAAGAGTAACGTATTGCTTTTCAAAGGCAGCACCTGGGACTCCACTGAAGGTGAACGAAAGCGTTCAAAGCTTTTTTTGTGTCCCAAGCAGAAAACCTGAGAGAAAAGGCATTAAAATTATTTGCACAGCATTGCTCAGTGCGTGCAGCGGCATTAGGAACGCCCTGTTGGTCAGCAGTATCATCTGGACTGACAGCATGTGCTGCCTCAGCGTGCTTGATTACATTTAGAGAAAGAAAGTTCCCTGCTTAGCTGACCTCCATTCCCCGTCCTGGTGTAGACTGGCAACTTCCTTGCAATTTCGGCGAGAATTTGCCGCTGCACCTCCGGCCTTTCTTCATTTTCATAGCGTTCTTGGTCAGCATAGGACATATGATACTAGAAAGAGAAGTCATGAGAGGAGCTGTTACCTCTGGGTAGCAGAGATAATATTTCAAGTATGGGCAAATTTGGAAAACGTTTTTACCTCCCACTCCTTCTAATGAGATTAATCTAATGTGAAAATGTGTTGTTAGAAGACAAAGAGAGATAATGAGTGCTGGACAGCCAGAACACTATGTGATACGTCAATAAGAAATGCAAAAGTGAAATTAAGGATTACAAAACAACATACTAGAATTGCTACGACTGTTGCCATAAATTACTATTTTTCATTAATAACATTACTAACTATGGTAAGGACACTTGAAGCACTTCTCTTGTGAGCAAGAACATATCCTCAGCCACAGTTTTATGTTTCTAAACCTGGGATTAGTTGTTATTTACAATATTCATTCTTGTAATTAGGATCGGATTGTGGCCATGTACATGTGGAGTGCCACACAAACACCATCCTCATTCTATTGCTCCAAACATAGTCTTTTATTAGCATTTCATAGAGATAGAACAAAAAAAAAAAATCCACCAATATGAGAAACATGAAAAAGTAAATATTTGGCAGAAAAAGAATTTAAAAAAAATGTCTGCCGCTGACTGCCCTGTGCTCAAACCACTACATCATACTCTTGTTCTAAAATAAGCCATTTATGTTAAAAAAACAATACCAAACCCTTAACTAAAGTATTATTCATTAAACAATCTATTTGAAACCCCAGTTTCTCTTCATCATACTATATTGTTACATTTCTTTTTCATGATGCTGTTGACCAGGGAAGTGCAAGGACTGGAGCTATGAGCACACCAAGCACCAAATCAAAAGCCATATACTGTGCACACAGCCACAGTCCTCACAGCCACAGCCACGCGACATCAGACTCTCAGCATGTTTAAAAGGAAAATGATTCTTTTATCCCTCACTATCACAAGAAAGAGTCTGACAAAGGAAGCAAACGGCCACTACAAAGAGGCCGACTCCAGCAGGCAAAGGGCTCCCAGCAGCGTGGGCAATTCTGGGCTTTGGTGGGACACTGAATGTTCACACACGCACCACAACTGCCTGGCTCAGGAGACCAAGAAACCCCACTACCACTGCCAATGCACTCATTTCCACCTGCACTGTAACACCTTCCCTGAAGAGTGAAAACCAAAACTGAAGGTCTGTACTCAGGAGACTCCAGTAAGGTCAGGTTAAGGAAGGTCGGAAGGTCCTCACGATTTGGTTTGCAACTTGCTAAAAGTTTAGAGATCAATAACACTATAAATATGGAAGTTAATCATCAGTCCTGTCACTCTCAACATGAAAAATCCTGTCGGCTCCTGGAACAACTGAAAAGGCAGCTTTAAAGGTTAACAGCATCTCTGCTTTAAACCATGCTCTTTGGGGAGTTAAAGGATTCTCAGAACAGTAAATTACTCAGTTTTTATGGACAACTCCAGGTCACTTTCCATCCCTTTAGGCAATCCAATCAACTCTCCAGATCAATTAGATTGAAGGATTTTTGAGTTCTCCTTAGCATCCCTGCTTTCATCCTGAAATGAATGAGAAGTGCTTGGACTCTTACCTTTTTGCCTGGCTGTACCGGGAGAGTAAAAATAGACTTCCAATATGTCCACACAAAGAGCACAAAGAGAATATGGAATATTATAAGATAGGCCACTAAAAAACAAAACAAAACAAAAAACAGAAGCAGAACAATGACTTCTTAAGTAAAAGTTTCATTCGTGATGGACATAATACCAATCTTTTACAATAACCAGAAAAAAAGATTTACAGTACCAACCAGTATTACAATACAGCTAAACCTTATGGTCATGAGGTCAGGAGAGTTTCAGAGATTTACGGGTGCAGCTCGGTGTTAGCTATCTCACAAGCCTCCCCTTCTCCACCTGATCTGATTCCGTGGGTGAGGAAGAACACAGCTGTAAGAGACTTCACCCACAGGGCAGGGGACAACCCTGTGCCACTGGGAATGACAGGATTCCTGTCTCTTCCCCACATCCTAGGCCCAGGCAAAGCAGAACTGGCAGGGGTGATACTGCAGTACTCCAGCATCTCTGACCTTCAGGTTCAGTCACTACTAAATGCACTTCGCATCACAGCACCATATTATCAGTGTACTGTCCACCCAGGCAATGAATTCTTCACCACTTGTGAGAGCTGAGAGAAATAGCATGCTCCAGCAGAGCTTTACATCACCTTTAAACTCATCTCTCTCAGATGATTTCATCTTTTAGATTTGCCACAGTGGATACAACAAAACAAATGAGGAAAACATCCCTCAAACTGAGCAAAAGAGGTCTTGTGATTACTGAGCAAGAATTGTAATCCACTAGACACAACATTATCACATGAAATCCAGCACGCAGAGTAATCTTATTTCAATATGCAAACTCTATTTCAAAGCTTTTGGGCATAAGCAGGCATACTGTGGTTCAGAAAGCCAAAGGACAGCTATCCTTCAGCTACACAAACTATCTGATTGTTATTTCTTCAATACTCAACCCGCTAAAACATTATCAAAGTCAATTTAAACACACTATTTAATCATAGTAATAACCTCATTTTCCCCATTTCATTTAAGCTTCAAATTCAAGCAAACTAAGATTAAAATAACTACTACTAGTGGAAATAGAAGTCTGAAGTCCAGACATTTCCTAACGTCTCAGGCAAGCCTGACTGTGAAAATGTAACTGGTAAAAAGGCCAAACACAGCTTTGAGACTTTCTACTGAGATGGCAAATGATCTGATACACCTCACAAGGATATGATGGATTGTGTGACTGACTTGTGAACCAATGATAATTCATTATTATGCTCTTAAGTTTGTTTGAGATGTTATCCTTATACCACATGCAGGTGGAACTCAGTCATTTTAAAATTAGTACATAGGGAGATAAATCTTGCAACAGGCTTCATTTTGTTGATCAAACGATACAGCAACATGTTACAGGAAGCTGACCTGGAGATGCACTAATAGATTAGGCAACTAATAACTTTCTTCTGCTGAATAATCATTAACATCATGCTTTCTACAGTTTCTCTGTAACAGTTTCAAGTGTTAGGACAGCTCTCTAGTGGAAAGAGAATTTACTTGATGGAGCAATCTGGAGGATCTTTAAAGTATCAGCAGGCATTGTTCTTCATGGAACAATCTGCCAGGTGAAAACCATTACACCCATTTCTATCCTTCATAACCCTGGGAGAAGAAACGAAGGTAAGAGGCCATTTGTATTAGCCAAATGCCTCCAAAGCACCTCCTGGAAAGAAGAGGAGGAGTACTGAAATGGCCACTGACCCCTTATCCTTAGAACGCGACTGTGGCCTCCAGCAGCGCACCAGTGGAAACAGTCTCACCCCGTGATCCTGCTGCTCTGCCCGACGCGCTCAGCGACCTCACGGCAGTGTCAGCCTCTCCTACCAAATGAATCTGAGAAGGGTTCAAGCCAAGCAATAATGAGACAGAAACCTTTGTTCTAACTCATCTGTGGCAGTAACTGAAAGCTGCTGTGTTATCAATCAATATATGGTTAGTGATTAACAGAACCAAGGGAAAAAATCTTTTGCAAAAGCATCCCTAACAAAAACCATTAAAAACAGCTTTCACTGAAAGAACAAATAAAATAGTGAAAAAAATCAGGCAGGCCAGTTGTCTTTTCTGTTTAGCTTGTAAAATCAGCTCTGAAAACATAAAACAGAAAGGGAGAAAGGTGCTTAGGTGTATACAGAGACACACATATATTTTCTTCTGAAAGAGTAAAAGGGATCAAAGCCTTTTCAGGTTCTTCTGCTCATGTTGTGACTAAAGAGAGGCACTTCCCAATACATCTAAAAGTTATAGCATGTCTAACAACACATGCTGTATACTTCATGATGTGTAATTACAGGAAGGAAACACTGAAAGGGTATGCAAGTTTAAAAAAAAATGATGGAAAGTATTTTTGATATTTTAACCAGAACATTTGTGAATCTCTTTACAAAAGTACTGAATGTCAAATAGTAAACTGAATGCACATACCTTTTTCCACAGGGTTGCTCAGAGTCACTGAAAAAGAAAAAACATGTGTCTACAGAGCAAATAGGACTCCCAGCAAAGTTTCTGACAAATAACGTTTCTATTTGAAACACAGCCATTTTAGGAGAAAAGTTCAAATCCAGCAGAAGAGAGCCTACAGTTTAGCATCAAATCACAAGCATCCATAACAATTCCTTGTTTACTCATGCAAATGACAGCTACAACAGGTTGTTCAATAACCGTTACTTATGCTGTATTTTCCCTTGTTCTAAAAGATATTTTGTATATTTGTGCGTTAGAAATATGACAAAAATAATTCACTGGTGACAGTGATGTGACAAGATTACCACGGCTCCTCTAGCAACCATCCAAGCAGTATCTCTCTGCATGTGCTTGTAAGCACATACTTGTAGCCTCCTTTGCACTAGTGTCTAGGTGGTGTTGATCCTCCACAGTTATCTGTGTCCCAATGCATTTCTGCATCAGCATAAATTAAAAAATTACAAATTGTCTCATCTTTGGCCAAGTCAGCAACAAAGGATACACTGTAATGACTCAACTATTTTTACACTTCCTACTAGCAAAGTTTTTGCAATCCTTCTTTACCCTAATTGTAGGAACAGTCCCTACTAACAGAACCACTTAGAGCAACCAACAAGGGGTACGTTGCTCAATGTCTACTTCTACTAATTATTTTAAAAATCCATCCATTATTTTAAAAGTCATCATCCAAGTTTAACAGAAAAGATAAAGACATATTTCTTTAACTGAAAACGGCCCAGTTCCGTGATATCCTGACAGAATACTGCTTGGAAGACAAAGATAGTTCATGGGCCAGGAGCCCCTTAAGGTGAGTCCATAGCCTTGAATCTAATGGTTACAACTGAAATACGTTGCTCATTGGAGGAACAGAGGAATGAAGGGAAACTCGTGGCCACAGATTGTCTCCCAGGGGCACAGCAGTCTTACACAGGTAAGATCATATTGTTGAAACACTCAAAGATTTGAGACATTGCAAATACTGGCAGTGACCCCTTCATAACTCAGACTGTACAGAAAAAGAAGTGCTTGAGGGATAGGAACCTTTTACTTCTAGCCTACAGCCAGCACCTGGAAAGAGACTCTGCTCCTCAAGGATGACTCTATCATCTTACTTAAATAAGAAATTTGGAAAAATGTAAATCAGAGTAGGAACCAAGAGGTCCTGCTTTTACTAATTAAAGTAGCTTTTCTTAAAACCATGCTAAGAAACAATTTTGACCTGAAGCTCTATGATACACAACAATGTAGAAGAAAAAAGAGACCAAATATTTGCTGTGTTTCTGCGTCCTCAATTTCAGATGAACAAGACTGTTAAGAAGCCTTTAGTTTTTCCTTTGATTTAAAGAGTATATCAGCTTTTCACAAACTCTGCTTGGTTCCCTCTTGAAGTACACGTCACATTTGCAGCATGGCCTTTCTCAGGATTTTACTTGAGAAAATGGCAAACCTCCCAAATAAAGATTATATAAAAGGTTTTATTGTGGGACACCGGGTCATTGTTCAACTGCCAACCAGACATGACATCAAGGACTCCTCTGGAATATGACTTGCTGGCCATACCAGTCACTGGAAGTTTAAAACTCAGTATCATGAGATGCCTCTAGGACATCACCCCTACACGACTTTCAATCCTCAGCAGCCTGCACAACTAAAGAAGAAAAATTAAGAATCCAAAGAAAGCATCTACTATTTACATGCTTGCAGCAGCTGAAATGGAAACCTGAAAAAAAAAAAAAAAAAAGAAGCCAACACAAAAAGCCTTATTAGAAATCTGGAAGAGAAATAATGTCCTGAGAGCTGGTTTGCAAGTAACTGCATATACCAACAGTTAATGTTCAAATCCTAAAATAATTAATTTAGTCATTTCAACTTCTGTATAGATAACCTCCTCCACACACAAATAAAATGCATGAGAGAGAAAGATGGGGCAAAAAAAAAATAGATAGGTGTGGGCACAGGAGTGATTTTAAACTGTGATTCTAGACAGTAAGATGAGCTCCTGCCAGCTTAACCAGCATTTTCAGAATAACACAGGCCCAATCCAAACCCCACTTAAATCAGCAGTCTTTTCTAATAGCTGCACTGAGACTTGGAATTAACCAGTGTTAAATATTACTGAATTTGCACAGCACTGCAAACAAAGCATATATCAGAAGACTGACAGCATTTCAGGAAAATACTCAAATTTTTGTCATATGGTCTAATTGACAGTTACATGCACCTTGGAGATATCGTTCCATGTGAGTTCTTGAAAGAAACAGCCCACAATCTCAGAGATGGAATAAAATGTCATTAAGTATTTGGGGGTTTTGCCTAGCTACCAATTAAAGCACATTAAAGAGACTGCATTTCATTTTAGTCCCCACCAAGGAAAAACAATAGATCTTACTGCATTGGCAACCCCTAACAAAAATCTGATTTGCATTTGCTATGCAGTAAGAGAAGGCAGCTCTTTTCACAGAAACGTCTCAAACTACTGCTCTGAGAACTCTGGATTCATTTATCTGGCTTACTCCATCCAGAAGAGAAAGAGCCGCATGCTCTCCCTCAACATTTCAAAAGTCCAAGCTCCCAGCTTTTCTCTCCACCTCTACCGGACCTAGCAATCCTTTCTTTTAGCAATGGATTTTTGCAAACACACTAAACCAGAACATAACAAACACAAGAAAGTTTGCAACCTACTATATAAATTGCTCCATTAAACTACACAATTACTAGCTAGCACCAAAAACGTCCTTTCTAAAATTTAGTGTTTTCTGTGCTAGTCTGACAAGTTACTTGACTCGTGACTGCGGTTTAACATAAGCTATTTCTTTACTTTTCAGAATATAAAAAAAAAATACTGTAATGCAGGGCATATACTGATTTTTGTTACCGCTGAAACCAGAAATCGCATCTGAACGTTATCACACGGCAACGATACGGACTTTTGCTGCGGGTATAAATCTCCCCGTCGTCACAAGCGTCACTTCCCCTGGCTAACGTGAGGACACACAAAACACGGGCTCATGACTAAGTAAAAGAAACCGCAACACCTAGCCACCCCAGCCAGGATATAAATATTACGGAGAAACAGGACAGCACACCACAAAAAATCCCACCGTGGGCTTGGCTAGTAATGAAGTGCTTCTTCACACTCACCCAGCCGGTTCCGGCGGGGCTGGAGCCTGTGGCAACACCCGCCAGCCGCGGGGCTCGGGGGCCGCCGCACCTGAGCGAGCCCGCCTCCCCCAGCCCGCACGGGGAGGAGAGGGAGGAGGAAAAAGGAGAAGGAAGCCGAGACACCCCCCGCGGCTGCGGAGGTGGGCGCGGGGCTGCGCGTCCCGCCCGAGCCGAGCGGGATCGCCCGCCCTCGGGGCCCTCACACCGACACCGGGAGGGCAGCGCTGCCCCCCGGAAAGGCGAGCTGCTGCGGGGGGGCAGAGCCGGGGGCAGAGCCCGGGCCGAGTGCGGCCCGTGGGCGGGACAGGGCCCCGCGCCCCCCGACCCCGGCCCGACCCCACCTCACGCCCCCTCCGCCCCCCAAACCCGGCCCGGCGCGCTCACCCAAGCACAGCTCGCAGACGTAGGCGTAGTAAGACCAGAGGACGACGAGGGCGATGATGAGGACGGGCAGCCAGGCGAACGCCCGCTGACAGCACCGCAGCCCCCGCGACAGAGCCATCTTTCACCTCAGCCCGGCCCCATCGGCCGTCGGCTGCGCGGGACTGAGCGCCGCCAGGAGGCGGGGGAGGCGCTCGGTGCTCGGCTGAGCGGCCTGGCGGGCAGCGGCGGGGCTGGGCGCGGCGCTGCGGCGCCCCCTGGCGGCGCGGGCTGGAGGAGGGGCCGCGGGGCCAGGGCGGCCACTGGCCCCGGCCTCAGCTTGCCCACTGGTCCCGACCCACGGCCGGGGAAAGGCTCCCTTTTGCGGGGTGCTTCAGCGCTTCTCAACCTGCTTACGACCCACGGCGCGGCACTGCCCACCGACCCCACTCCCGGGAGGCCATGGCAAAGCCTGTCCCACCCTGCGAGCCGGAGCCATTGGCCGGAGTGTCAAAAAGCTCCTGGAATTCCCAGGGATGTAGGCACAAGCCACAGTTCCTCGTTAATTGCCCTAATTTAAGTCCATCTGTGCTGTCCTGGCCCGGCTCCCCTCACCTGTGCTACAAACACCCCACCGAGAGCCCACATCAGCCTCTTCCTCCGTCGCACCATCCCCACAGCGGTTTACACATCTAATGTGCTCCGATGTCCGTCCTCGGCCTTCCTTCTGACTGATAAATCTTTACACTAAAAGTTGTTTTTATCAGTAATCATACAATTTTGTACTTTGTTCTATTAGGCTTATCTTGTTTTTCTATGGGTTGACCCTGCGCTGGCACCACCGCCATCACACTCAAATTTCCTAAGCACAAACCTGGGTTACTAGTGAATATGCATGGGAAGATCAGATTCAAGACAAACTGTGGAACAAAATGAGTGTCCCCTCGAACAACCCGATAACACAGCCTTTAATGTAAAAAAAAAAAAAAAAAAAAAAGAAGAAGAAAAATAGACCACTCCCCAGTCTGCTCCATGACCCCCTTTGAATTCCTGTAGGAATCCCCCTCATTTCCACATTCACTAACATGTTTTAAGTTAAGGCTTGAGTTAATTAAATCTACTATATTACCTCTGCTAAGGAAATTAGATTTCTCATCAAGAGAACAATTTATCTAATAGAATGTACTTCTGACAAAACCCTGGTGTCATTTACCCCACTTTCCAGTCACCTTTGTTCATCGGTTTTGTCCCTCAGAACTTATTCTAAAACTTTCCTTGTTGGTGGTGTCAAACTTGCAGGCTGTACTGCCTCTAGCAAATTTTCTCTTTTTTTGAGTATAGGTACCACATCTGCCATCTTCCTGGGCGAATCCCTGAATTTAGACATCACCTGTGAAACCTTAGACCACACTTGTAATTCCACATTTAGTTCTTTCAATATTTTAAGATGGAGATGATCTACAACCTCTGATTTTCTCAAAAAATTTGTTCGGTAGTGAGGCAATAGCAGTCTTAACTTCGCTGTTCTGCTCACAGTCCATACAGTCACTCTCCTGCTCTTCTTCATGCTACTAAACTCTTTAATACAAAACCTGAACTTTTTGGCACTTGTTTTAATTTTCTCTGTGCGGTCCAGCTTACCCAAGCTTTTGGATAGTCCCTGCTATAGCAAAAGAGCTTTGCAGATGCCATAATATATGTTTGCCTGAGCTGCATGTAACCCTGAACATGAAAGCTCAGAAATCTGACTTAGACTGTGAAATCCAGTATGTTTCTATATCTATATTTATATCTGATGAAAAGAGAAATGCCCCGTTCCAGGGCAGTCAGAGAGGGAATTTAGGACAGATACATTCCATATTTTGAGGATTTCAAAGAGTGAGATATGAATGCCCACTTGCTGTCTCCTCCTTCTTTACACACACTGTGTAGAACTGAGAAGCCAATAGTTTTGCCAGCAATACATTTTACAAACAGTAAAATTTAAAAATCATTCTTGTGAGCCAAATCGCTACCTGAAGTGACTCACAGAATCCCCTCTCCTAAAATCTCAAAATTAATAATCATATACATGGGAGGCACAACACATCCATGATACATTTTTCCTGCTTGTGTGTATATAAAACAGGAAGGCAACCTCTCCAACAGACATCAGTGGAAAAGTGAGGAGACATTTTCAGATAATGCCTCTGTAAATAAAAGTAAGACTATTTTTTTTGTTCAACATCCAGTTTTTCTATGTGTTCTAAGATCCACGTGGATTATCTTAAAAATTCTTTTGTTTCATGGGCTTCCAGGGGACACTTAGTCATATAAACATGAGCTCATCTGAGGTAAGAGATTCCCAAATACAGCTCTTTAAAACAAAAATAATCATGCAACCTTGAAATCTTGTGATTCTCATAATGCATTTTTTACACTTGTGGTTCAAATGGTAGCTGCCCATTTGAAATTGCCAGCTGGAGTTTGATATAATTGGTATGAGGTACCTTGTGTCCTTTTCAGAAATCAATACTACAGATGTAATTCAAAATAAACGTTGATTCTAAAGTTGAGCTTCAGCCAGCTGTACAAAGGAAAGAAAGTCCTCTCTGGATGCGCAGCCTCACTGGGCTCCACAGCAACTACAACAGTTGCAAGCAGCCCAACCTAAGAGAGTGGTTTAGAAAGAAGTGGGATTATCCTACGTAATATCTGTATCTTTAAGTTTCATTCTGACCATGAGAAATTTCCTGCTAATGCACATCACACACACAACAAAGAAGCAAACATCTGCAGAGTTCAGAAAGCTCTCATTTCATCCATAGGTATAACTAGACTGTTTAAAACTATTGTCAAAAACTGCAGCACTAAGGAAGGCGGATGAGAAAATCAAGTGCTAACATCTTTAGGGCAATTTAAATAAGGCTTATCATCGTTCCCTTTTTCTCTAAAAACTTTTTGGGTGCTCAAAGAAAGGAAGATGGTGGTGATGTACCAGTGCCATGGAGACTCTGGGTATCAGGAAACGCATCATTACAAAGAGCTGTATTCTGAAGACTAGAGTAAGAATGACACCAGCTAAGATGGCACTGGCTTTGTTGTTGGTCCAAAAAATAGCTAAACTACAGAAGGAAACAATATAAACTCAGGAAACAAATGCTAGTTTTTACAACAATTTACCTATTGCAGAAAACCCAAAAGGACCACAGGTACCAATTTCACCAAAATGCTGTCTTTCTTATGAGAAAAAGCTCTTCAAAAATTACACATGGTAGAAGATGCTTAATTGTATTGTCCTGTAAAAAAAAACACAACTAGAAAATGCAGTTTATATTTCCAGTGCTGAACATGAAACTGTGCACAGACCACAGTATGCATGTCAAAATTATATTCTAATCCAGAAAATCAAATTTGTGTGAGTTACTTTCCCCACTGTTCATTTCAAAGTCTTGCTTAAGCTTGTAATATATGCAAGCCCTGAAGGTATGTGGAAAGAGCTACAAAGCAGTCGTAAACAGTAATGAGCCAAACCTTGTGAAGATCTAACTTTTCAAACTACTTTTAACCTAGTGTGTGTAAAATAAAGGTGTAATGTGTTTTTTTTTTTTTTTTAATTGTCAGATGTATTTATATCTGGGTAGGTTACCCATGGTTTTGCTTATCAGTGACAGAGATATCCAAGAAGATGTGCTAATCCATGACCTAAAAAGGGAACCAATACCAACCCCAACTGGCAGAGGAGAGCCCTGGCTTCTGACCTCCTTCCTGATCTGAAAAAGATTTGTGGGCCTAAAGGCTGGCCCGTTTTGTCATTTATTTTAGGAAAACAGCAACCCTCCCTACCTTGATCGTATCGTGGCCTATTGCATACCGTACTTGTAGGTAAGCAGATAAATCTTAGAACACATGCTAATCTAATCATGCCGGCTTTGGGCTTTGTATCAAAAATGCTGCATCCCAGCTCATGCAGAGGAGTTAGACCGAGCTTTTTCAGAAAAATTAAACAGCTGATTGCAGAGGAATAAAAGTGAGCTGGTCCAGAGAGTGGCCATGAGGAGCTCCGTAACCACTGATGAATATGTTGGCTGTCATCCAGATTGTTGTGTGTAGTTACTGCAGCATGAACCACAGCTTACACAGTTTCCAACAGCCACAGCAGTTTTTGCTGTAGATGGAGTTTTTTGGTAGCCTTCACCATTGGTTTCAAACAGGCCAGAATTCAGAAATTTTGTTTGATTGCTGTCCTATCAGAAAGCTCAAAGGACTAATGGGCCAAAGAATCAGGATTAGGGAATACTTTTAAAAAGAAGAAGTAGATGCAACTGATCAGACTTCACAAGAGATCCTACTACTTTTACTGGTGACTTCTCAGTCATGTGTTATAAAAGCTTTCCCTTCTCCCCAATTTTCCAGCAAAGTACTGGTAGATGGTGACGGTATAATGAGGACTGATTTGTACTAACCTATGAGCGAGCTGTATTTCTGTTATATTCAGTAAGAACTCTCCACTGCATGTGATAAGCTGCCACATTTACACATTAACACCTGCCCCAAAACCCCAGGAAAACCTATTTTTTGTTACTTTTGGCAGGACTTTGCAGCTCTGTACTGGGACTCCTGTATTGTACATGAGTTTGTGCACACATACAATGGTCCTATCATACATTTATCCACATAAATGATATTATCTTGCCGTGCATAAAGTAAACTAAGGAAACCGCTAGATCATACTCGATGTAAATCAGCAGAGCTCTAACAAAGTGAGTAGAGCTGTGCTTGTACGTACCAGTTTTAAGACCTCTCTCTACTGCTCTGGTACAGAAGTTAGATTCAGACAATTATCCTACCACTAATATTGGAAGCAAAGTGGATTGACTCCCCCCCGCCCCACCCTAGGTTTTCCAGCTTTCTTTGTCCTGTACAGTAGTACCCGCCTTGCCTTTGACTATAAGCTGCACACATGGTGTCATTGCTCTTAGTCATCACCTGCTTCCTGCTCTCTCAGATTTCTCAATCGTCCCATCCCCCACGTTAAAATTTTATCATAACTTAATGTGGAAATATGGGCAGGGTATATGGAGTATGTAGCAAGGTCTGTCAGCACAGATTGCAAGTAAAGCTGTTTAAAATATTACAAAACTTTTAATTGCCACCAAGTGAAAAAGTGGCCATTTGCAGCAA